GGCATCTCGCAAATGCATTGCAACCTTCTTTCCTGTTTAGTAACAATGCACTTAATCTCATAAAAAGTAGCGTTCTCGTGATAAAGCCACTTTTAATAAAAATTACTCACGGCCATAAATATCGATATTGACACAATAAAGCTGTGTCAGTTTTGTCATATTCAATTTTTAAACGTTTTAGTAAACTTCAATTTTAATAAGGATGTAATATAATTGCCGATACTCTTCGTTTAGAATAAATACGAAATTTAATAGCACTTAAAAAGAGATATATGCATATTGAGCAAAAACTCGAACCTCTCGCGAAAACGCGCACCTCGTAGATGCATCACTTTATTTTACTTCATGTTCCTCTCAACTTCTCGTTTAATTTCGTACTATCAGATCCTTCCTGGCTAATTTTCTTACTAAACTTTAATGCTACTTTAATTTAATACTATTTTAAGCTCGATCCTGGATGTTTATCGACAATAAGATGCGCATTTATTTTACATTCTCACGTTCGCGAAAAGTGTTGTATCAGAACATTGCAATTAGCGACTTGGTCGATCGACGATTTAATTGCTACGCGAAGAGCGGCAGTTCGCCATTGTCTGATCAAGATACGCCTGGCTCTCTCAGGGATCGCACTGCCGGCAATTTAAGCGCCTTTTCAAAGTACAGCGGAGCATCGTGTCACCAATACACGTCGTAATACTCTGAAGAGCGAGCACCTGCTATTTCTTCGTCGCCTGGAAGCAATTAACTCTCTTCAGCGCTCGATAAACCGACCAATACAAATTAATTACGTTGACCTAATGCACGATATGATTACATCAACACTGTTGATATTTCGAAGAAAAAGATAGAGCTGAACGATTCCATCATAATTACGTCTCTTACATCTAATCTTATCGAGATATTCCATTCGTCAATAATGGATCTTATTAGTCTTGTCAATTAAAATCGATCGTACTGCTTGTAACGCCGAGGAAGATGTGACGTTATTCTAAACGTACGATTATAGAATCCAAATATGACAGGGCTATTTCCAATCTACGTTTATTCAAGGGTTGTTCGATGTTTATGTAGGAGAGTTAATTTAACAAAAATTCCCCGTCAATTTTTCACGAATTATGGAGATAATGAATCGGGCGCTACTTGATTCGTAAATTGCCGAATATTCTAACCGATTTGAAAGCTTTCGATGCAGATTTGTATTTCCGTGTTGTTTATCGACCCACTTTATGTGTATGTACACGCGACGCAACGCCGAATCACTGGCGACCGTCGCGCTAAATGTGTTAGCGTGTATTTGCCAACTTAGTTAAACAGCTGCTAATATTTGCTCCCGGGACCTTGAAGTGCATTCGAATGCACGTGACGCAACGAGGTAATCACCGGTTTCTCATAATGACCTGCGAGTGAATTCGGCTATCGCGCGGCTTCAGAAAGGGAGGCGAAGAATTAATTCGTGTCACAAGTTAACATTCTCGTTCATAATTTATTAATAATACGGTTCAGAAGTTTATGCAAATCGATTCTGTCGCTTGCGCGTGAATTTCTTACGTAACGCAAGAAACCGCAGTTTCCTGATCACCGTTCGCGTAACGCTTCTTGGGTCGGAAATAAGAATCTTTGCGCATATTTTCTGTACACTCACGTGTGTACGAGCGCGATTTCTTCTATCTAAACTCTATCTAATTGCACAGAAGAGGAGTTTGAACGCTGATGAAATTCATTCGAACAATACAAAAGGGTTTAAGGTTTCATTGAACAAAATCTGCTTTGCATCTTCTGAATTTTTCCCCACGTATCGCTCCGTTAGTTTTTCCAGGATATTTTGCATGAGAATGCCCGAAAATTTATGGCCACTGTGGGCGCGCTTTTTCCTCCCCCAAATAGCGATGTAGGGAGGGTGTAACTCCGGACTGGCGAGATGCGATAAGAATTGTTACACATCCAGAAAAGCACCTCCAGGCGGGCTAAGTTCGTGCGGGAATACAAAAGACTCCATTTAAAAATTGAGACGCCGCCGGGTTCCGAGTAATGTAGCGGATGTGATACCTATATATCACTAAGTGCTTTCGCATGCTCAGGAATTCCAAATTTCAAAAAGTAGATTATTTTTCCGAACAATAAAAAATAGAACAATTAATTTATTACACAAGTGTGATGACGTTTGAAATTTTTCGTAAAAAAGAACCAAGTTATCTTCACGTTAATCCTTCATTGAGAAGTGATACTGACAGCTATTTAAATGTTAAATAATATTCCGAAATTTTTGAACGAAGATTTATAAATTTAAAGTGGAATCTTCGCATCCTATAGTGTTTTCTAAAATCAAACAAAACCCTTCAAGCTCCATTAACTAAAAATACAGAATTTCTCGCGGACGAATACTCTCACGTAACACCGTTTGTCGTTCCACGACCAGGCGTAGTCAGATAGCGACGCAATTTATTCGTGATTCTTGCGTCAACAGCTGGTAAATCGCGAGATTATGTAGCATTCGTGGTGCCACTTGAACACGGCTCGCTCGTCATACAGATGCAAGAAGTCATGTATTCATGTTTATTATTTCGCTTTAGAGTGGGCCTGGATAGCTCAGTTGCAAGAGCATTCGCCCGGCAAGCGGGAAGGTCCCAGGTTCGAATCCTGGTCTAGTTAGTTTGTCTCACCGAAAATTAATAGGTGGCACGCCTTGTTGTTAATGCTCTTATCTCCCCGAAAAGAAATATTTAAAATAATTATTATTTGTCATATTTTCACGAAACTAAATTTAGTATTAAGCACACATCAAGAATTAAGATACGTACATAATATAATATTAAATTTAGATTCATGAAAAAAATAAATAATTATTATTTTACATATTTATTATTTTAAATAACAATTGTTTATCATTTTCTCATGATTTATTATTTTAAATATTTATTATTTAAAATAATAAGAAAATTCTGTATTTACTCCCTGGTACAATTAACAACGTTAATGACTACTTCCCTTCGAGGAGTTAATAGAAAACTGACGGTTATTGTACTTTAGTCGTGAGTCAGAGAGCATGCCAGCGAGAACATTGTTGAATGAGCCGGATTCTCCTTTCAGCGAGACTCCCTCTTGACAAATCGCTCGCGACACCTTCCAAAGTACACCTCCGGCATCTTTAAGAAGATCCCGCTTCGGCTTTTTTCGTCTCGTGCCCCGCGTTTTCTTTCGCGATGCACGCACCGTATCGAAGATTTTATCTCGACGTTCATCAGCGTCTCACCCTCTTCGTTCTTATTATCCGCAGACTACGACGTCTTAATATCGCGAATTTAGCGGGAATTCCGAGAGCTGCTCTCGTAAGAACGGCCATCGATGGTGAACACCGACGACGCGCGATAAAATGCTTTCTCTTCGCTATAAACGTCTCGCGTTATCATCATTAGCGTCTTCATCCGTCGTTCCGCGTCATTATCCACCGCCCGATACTTTAAACTACAGCATACTTGCTATAGGAAGCGAGATTCACCGCCGACTCGGATTATTCTCTTCCTACTCTCTCTACGCTCTCACTTAAAATCTTATCTTGCGGTTGAAATTAGAGTCTAAGTACTCTCTTCCGTCGTTTCTCATACAAGAGATAGTTTAGTTTTTTTAGATTATCGATAAATCATCGTTACATTAAAAATAGTAATTCGCCCCTCCCCCCCCCCTCTCTCTCTCTCTCTCGCTCGCTCGCTCGCTACGCTAAAAAAGTATTTTTTTGTTTAGCGCGTTTTGAAGAAACTACAAATTTTTAATACGTTAATTCTAACATTTTGGCAGTATGTAATTTTTCTAAATTAATTGTAAGTATAAATATCGGAATGTTAATATTAAAATGTGCGTCCTTATATTCTAATTGCACATGCATTTGTGTCGACATTTTTCTTTTTCAAAATGTAACATGCGTTTATGTGTATGAAGTAGATTCTCATATAAATTGTAATCGACCCACACAAATAACTCAACTTGTGTAAAAATATTTCTTCCGCTTTTTTCCCCTCAACGTGCCCTTCGACTGCAATCATTTGCGAAATTAGGTAGCAATAAGTTCTTCGCGAATAAGAACGACATCCATCGAACCTCGAAGTGAATTACGCTGAAGATATATGCTTCATTCGGAAGACATGAGCCAGCATATCGAACCTTTTCACTAGCATGCCCAAGTTCCAGCCAATCGAGTCGGTGAATATCTCGGCGTAATGGAAGGAAAAGACCCTCTCTGTGAAATGTCGAAGTTCAACTACCCTGTACCCTCGTGCACCAGATACGCAACCCCTCGTCCTCATGCCTAGTCCTTACCTATATGCGTCGCACGATTCGATACTCGTTGGCATAATGCAATTTCTTTATGGTACAAGTGAGTATCCCGTCGTGCTCGCCGTCGATCTTGGTTTTGTTTGCGATTAGAAACGACTTCGCGGAACTTCCTCGTGTTTAAATGATAGAATATCTTCCATCCGCTTAATTCTATTTTACGATATCTAATTAAAAATTTCGAGTTGCGAAGCTAATTGCAAAGTTGTGAATTATTCTATATCATATTTAGTTAGTTGCAGTAAACTAAGTCAACTTTAGACGATCCGTAATTTGCACACATAAGTAATAAAATATATATTATTCGAAACTGTAAATAGAATTCTATCCTGAATTTCTGACACAAATTGCAGAGCGTCTAAAGTGCACTTTAATCAATGATCCGAAATTAAATTCAGAATTTAGGTAGTGTAATCCAAAATAGTAACTTTAATTAAATTTCCTGCCTTCCGTCTTCCACGGGATGACACCAGTTGTTTCACTCTGAGGAATTAATGCGGCTACTAGAATACTAATACCGGTGCAAGATGCTCGAAGCGTTCGAAACCGTATGTCGTCGGACGGCGACCGCTTTTAATTAAATTTTTATTCACTGCCGTAATACGCTCGCATATTCAATAACCGACCCCGCTACAGAGAGAGAATTATTTTACGTGGAACAATTCGTGTTGCAGCTGGAGCCGCTCCTGAGGAAACTAACCAAAGGTCCAGTTCTGCACACAATCGCCACTCTCTCACGAAGGGTAAGTTCGACGAACACAGTTGATTGTATTTAGGGTATTCTCGTTTGCCGTAATAAAACATTGTAGTCTACCGAGCAGAAAGGACCGCTACATTGTGTTTTAGGATATACAATTAAACGATGTAGTCTTACCAACATTAACAATGGCTCAAATTTAATAAATAATTCTTAATTTTCTAAATTTCCTCGTAAAGATATTATTTTAATGAAACGCCTTGTGAAAATGCGGTGTGCTCGGTAGCTTATGCTCTAGAATTTAATTTATTAAGCTTTCTTTTCTCTTTTTCTCATCTATCTTGCTGTACCCTAGCTGATTTTCGTCGAAACTCTAAAGCACCAACTCGAGAACTTTTTATTACTTCGTAGCGAGTGTAACGCTCGATATGATACCTCTCACGGTGGCTTTTTGACATTTACACGGCGGATTTGGACGCGATGCACTTTTCAATATCGCACCCTGTGTCTACCGACATTTCCGTGACGCTTCAGAGCACAGCTTGATCATTTATTTGCGATACAAGTAGTGACACAGACATATTGTACATACGAGTATACAGGTCACTTTTTATTGGAGAGGCCTGAAAAATATTTGACAACTTCGGGCACGTTATATTTTCAAATTGCAAAAAAAAACACAACAATTGCTCCAAGTATTTAAGAAGGAAATAAAGAATCTGCCCAGTTTAACGTTTAACAAAAATTATGCCAATTTAAGTTGTAATAGTATTGAATAGTCTGTTCCATAAATTTTCCCGTTTCGTTTATTTTAAAAACGATTGAAATCACTTCGCAAAGTTGCACGAGGACAATCGGTTCGTCGCGTGAATTCAAGGTCCTCGGCGAATTTTCATAGAAATGTAGGTTTGTAGATTGCTACGTCGCCGGTATTCCACAGTCGATAATGATATTAATCTCGCGCGGGGAACCGCGTAACTGCTTTTCAATCTGCGGTGAAATCGAGAGCACTATCGAGTCGCTGCAGACCGATAGTACGATCTCTGGGTCGCGGTAGATAACGAATGCAATTCTCCCAGTTCGACCTGCGAAATGGTCAAGTGGATTTAATAAGCGCTTCAGTTGCATTCCGCGCTTTTGTGGGCGGTACCGTTGGTGTTTAATCAATCGTGAAAAGCGCCCGCGAAATTGCTAATAAGCCCTTCATGCGGTCGAAAAAATTGCGCGCGTGGTAGCGCATAAAAAGTGGAATTCGAAACAAAGGACGCGATGCGTAATTTATTACACGACGATTGTATAATTAGATACGTCTCGGTGACTGGCATAATTAAATCTGGACTAACGAGGTCCATGCGTCGAATGCGAGTGTGTGCGTACGTGTAACTCGCTCCAGATAATGATATTAAATATAACGCATTAATTTATACTTAATTACATTCAGTCGAAAGCTCAATCGAAAGTTTAAATTGTCTCTTATTTTAATAAAGGGTTTTACGAGAGTAATGCGAAAGAATGGGAAAATATTGTCTGGAGTGTATGTCTTTCCTCGAGTTACTTTCTCCGGTTTACCTAAAAACTAACGAAGTACTTGCAAAATATTTAAAATGCCTTTGTTTAACTAGAAGACGAAGAGAATTATCGAGACTTTAAATTCGAAATGTAAATATCGTTCGTGCTCAACAAGCACATTCGCTCGTTAAATATTAGTAAAACACTAAGCACCCTGGAGCGTGAGAAACCAGGACAGTTTCCATTGTCATTCACAAGCTTCATTAAAATGTACCTGCTTAAAATTATTCTACGATAAATAAAAGAATTCCTAAAAATATATTTTAATCGTATCGTACGATATCAATAGGCAGAAATCTATCTTGCATAGATTGTAAATTTAAAACACGAATATAAATAAATATCAACGACAAGTCAGAAAAATAAGTGTTTTAAAACGAAAGCTTTTCTTATCTTTGTTCTTTCATATAGATTATCCATTTGAAAGTAAAATATATTGTTAACTTATCTCGGTAACGATATATTCCTTCCCGGATAATTTGTAAAACATTTTTGCGTCACCCGACGCGATAATTATCGCTTCAGCAAACGTGAAAAGTACGATCATCGATGAGAGAATCTCGTTACTCGCGGCAACATCTCATGGATCATTCGCGTAGCTTAAACCAGCGTATCTATTCGCATTCTACACCGCCACTCGAGCAAGGTTGGCGAGATAGAATAGTCGAGTGGATGAATGGAGGATTCGAGAGGAAAAGCCGGGGAGGTGGAAAGAAGTGAAGGGTGAGAATTGAGAAGACAACATCCGTGGCACAGAGGCAGCAAGAGATGGAAGCGACGGATTCCATTGTTTTCCGACCCACTTCCAGACGAAGGGAGATTAACAGAGCTGTGTGTATCCACCGGCGGATTTTCCAGCGTTTGAGCCTCCAAGACGACGATGATGACGAAGCTTGTGACTGCAGCTGCATGACAGATACACCGCCAGTTCGTACGGGCGCATCCCTCCGGGCGACGCGTCGCGGTTTTGTCCCGTTCGTTAAATTGTCTCGGTTACCGCATTGTCTCTACCTATCCCCCTCGAAATTACGGACACGCCGCGGTAAATATTGCAGACATAATGGGGATTTTAACGAACCACCTCCCTAAACTAATACCACGTGATGCACAGAATGCAAGACTTCGGTGAATGCATTTTTTTCATCGAAATGGATTTACCATTTCATTTTTCTCTTCTGGAAATATGCAGTCTTTTGTATAATACGCTTTTAAAACGTCACTTCGCAATCCGTTTTCAGGCACTTCGAGTTCTTATTTAATTCCAATTCTTCACGCGTTGCATTTAACGCAACCGCATTGTTCTTTCTATTCGTTATTCCGTTCTACTCGTCAAAAGCGGGTGAATTAACGGCGATATTGTGTGGAGGACAGCTTTCAGAGAGATAGATGGATTGTGCGTTTCCGAATGACCGAAGATTAACAGCTGTAGGGACTGACAATGAGTGCAGTACCAAACGATGCATTTCGTATCCACACCCTCGAGAATCCTATTTCGGCGACGGTATTGTCGTTATCTACGCACTTAATGTCTTTGGAAGTCTCTTGTTCTCCAGGTCGAAGGGGAAAAATCTTTTCGATCAGGATAATGGATAGACGAGAAGAGAACGCGCTTTGTAGTAAACTTTTTCTCTCGCCATTCTCTTTATCCGCAAGACTGCGATTACGTATATCACGCCCGCAATGTTCCATATGTATTAACGTTGCTTATCCATTCGTAAAATGTTGGTTCTTGACTGAATGTGAGAGTGCTGAAAATCCTTTTACTTTATATATTTCGCAAAGTCAAAAAAGGACTTATTGACAAAAGTACGGCGCGGTGATGCAGATGTAAGTGATAAGAAGTTGCCGCTTTAATAATTCATGATTTTGCAAACTTCGCAATATAGAGTCTGTCAATTTTCCCATAAATGGTTAAGCGAAACAGACGCGACGATATCAAACTTCCGTATGGCGATATTTCGCGCGTCTCTCGGCTCTTTTCCTCGCTTTTTTTTGGAACGCTCCACTCAACGTCTTCGGCCGCACCGCTTCAGCAAGTATCGAGTATTTCCCCAGTGATTCGATACGAATTCGTCTTCCAAATTATATTTACGTGCAAGTGGCTCTCAGCAGTTTTCTATCTCCGATAAAAGGAGAGCGAGTCTTCAATTACTACCACATGTTGTTTAAAAAAGCCAGCGCTGCTTTCATCGTCGAGAATCCTCTTCTGCATGTTGCAACGTAACTCGATATTCGTGACGTCGAATACTTCTCCCTTTCATATCATCCCTGCAGTCTTCGGTATATTTCATCCCTCGCGTTCTTCGACGTTCTCTCTCTTCCTCGTTCGCGTTCGATTCCGCGTCCGCATTAATAATGACATGTCCAATTACCATCAGCAGTAGGGGTGTACCGTTTTCTCCTTCTTTGTCCTCACACGTTTTCGTCCTTCCCTCCCATCTGGTATTTGCAATCAGCGGCCGGAAACAATATTGGCAGCTTGGCGGTCGTTCCCGTTGACGCTTGTCGAAAATGGAGATTGCCAACGAAGGATAAAAATAAGCCGCGTTGCAATTAGCGAACGTAGAGGGGAGTGCATGAATCTAATACGAGGTCTCTATGAGATTCATGCGGTATCGAGGCACAATCAACTATTTTGTTATCACCAATTGTGTGTACGTGAGCTAACGAGGTGTCGATCAATATCTCGTCGCTCGACGAAAATGCAATTTCGCACATAGAGATTTATTAATGAATGGCATCGCTATGGCAGATAAATTTCTAGTATTTATTACGAAATAAAGCTTCGAAGAGCTGCGTTATAATTAGATGTTTAATTTTAAACAGCTTACTTCAGAGATAATTTTGCTTTTAACAAGCAATATGTATGTCGTGGTTGAATATATCAGTGTCGTGCAACGTGCACAGCAATGTCGTCTTTAGGTAAACAATATTGACTATAACCGCTGGCTGTTATCTACAGTACAGCAGTGTACTTTGATCGTTAAACACCTGTCTTTCGTCGACGCAGCAGCAACGCTTATCACGCGACGAGTATTGCGAACTACGCGAACTTTATGGCTCTCAGAGAATGTGTACACCTTCGAATTTGTCTTCCGCAGAGCAAACGATGCACTGGTTCGCCCAGATTGGTGGTGACGACTCCCTCGCTTTGACAGGTATGCTCGGCGTGAGCTCAACGTGCTTCGATAACGATTGTGTGACTTGCGTGTGGAACACTTTCTTTGCAACATTCACAGAATCGTCGCGTTTGATGTATTTGATGCGACGTCTAAGACCGAGACCGCATCTCAGCCCATTGCTGGACACGTTTTGTGAGCAGAAACACTAATCTCTCGAAAGTAAATGATTATAAAACAGAAAACGATGTCGTGATTCTAATTTTGTTACTCAAAGTTACTCAAAGGATTCCATATGACTTGTGCTAACGAAAGATTAATGTGCCCCAATGCGGTCATTTCAATGTGATTTGCAATTTGAAATTGAGACAATTCATTACTACGCTGTAATTAGAAAGGCTGTTACTTAGGCCCGTCTGTACACGATCTTATGTAACGGAGAACGTGACGAATCCTGATGCGGAATTTGCACGAGGATCGAATTTAACTAACTGTCATAAGGATCAATCATGTTTAAGCAATTAAAAAAATATATAAATGTGTTATATGGATATACTAGTCGGACATATTTGTTCTTTTACCGACAAACCGCGGAATGATATATTGCTATAGTTGCCAATCGCGTTTAATGGGCTTGTCAGATTGCTGTTGTTAGGTTATTTAACAAAACTGACATTTAAATGTTTTCATTGATTTTTCGGTCGGCGCTATTTCACGAAAAACGTATTCAACCTGCATCAATTAAATAACAACGATGCTAACGAGTCGTATAATTTGGCAATTGTGTAACGGAATGCGAATGGTATTCGAAGAATAATGCAATTAACGCTTTCCAGTTTGAATACTAATCCTTTGATACGTTTATAAATTCAATAAACGATATTGAAAAAGGTGTATCGCAGTATATTAATGTGCAAAATGTTGTTACGACACGTTCACGAATTTGTATTTTATTTATATCTTATATTTTACGTATATATATGTGTGTGATAAGTAAACATGTTTTTCTCACATGCCTTAAAATTATTTCACAGATTATTTCGATATACTTTCTTAAAACGTTATATTTTCTTAATTACCATTGTTTCTGAATTGTCGAAAATTTCCGTTTACAATTAGTATTATGTCTTGATCTATGTATTAGTAATAATAGGAACTGATTAAATGCGACATATTTTTTTCACTAGTACGCATTCTCACCTCATCTTGAAAGCTTCTTAGCCAGCGCGGTTCACATTTTTAACATCGCATTCAGTGGAAAAGATTTTCTTTTTATGCCATAAAAGGCGATAATCTCGTTTTTTTATTATCGTGCTTATAAAACGAATGTTATCTGAAGAGCAGATTTATTCTGCGGCCTCTTGCAATCCGATAATCTTTTTCGAAGAAAGTAAAAGGCAGACGAGGATTGTAGGAAATGTTGCTTAAAAAAATGGGAGTTATCATTTTCATAAAATGAAGATATCGCTAAAAGAGCTGACGATAAGATTATTAGACAAAGAGACATCACGGGAAAAAGACAACGAACTTTACATTAGTACTAAAATAACCAACTAAGAGTGAATTTTTGTTATTTTAAATTTTATACTCCTTCGTTTTTAATTCCTAATCACTTCCTAATTTTTAATGGAATTTTTTTGTATTTATTTATCTAACGTTATCAAAATCTATTGGTACTAACGTCAACACGATTTATCCATTACTTTTCTCCGTTGCAACATCTGTCCACAATCTTGCATCAACACGAGTAACCACGTGCATGCAAACCACTCGTTTTAACCGCGCGAGCACACATTTGCATACTACATCACTATACACGCCAGGTGCATACCGTAATAACCATTTATTCATTCATTCATGCGTTCATTCGTACGTGCTGTAGTCTTAATACTTGAATCTTACGTGCACACGCACATGTCTCGCTTTCTTCTCGGCAGATGTGAAGCGCCCGCGAAGCCTCTACGACGAGGACTCCCTCGACGGCGATCGTCCTTACGAGAATGAAGGTATCAACGTTTTCAAGGGCATTGTACAGACCGCTCCCTTTTTCCTTCTTCGAGTAGATTTTTTTTAGATTTTCCTCTTTCAATAACACCAATGATCTAACAATAATCTAACGGCCTTTTAACGCTTTCGACTTACGTTTATATCAACTTTAACAAGTAACGGTGGCAGATATTACTCGTGTTAATTTCATATATTTGTATTTTGATCTAATAATAAGTAAACTTTATTCGCGTTGGACATTACCTACTCGCGCCCTACATTTTACCATGTAATATTTTCTAAATCAATATTTTGTTTTGTAAATAATTTATTTTTTACCATCTTGATGTATTATATATACATATATACACTTTATCTTTTCTTAGTGAGTTAAGATTAGCATTAGCACATTCCCTTATCTTGTTCCCTTACGCGCACATTCATACATACATACACACACTCTTGTTTTAAAAGTAACTTTTCCTTTGCAATTTCTTCCTTGTATTTATGATTTAGAATAATCTTTAGTAATTTAGATTGTAAATGGTTTTAATGTAATTTAACTTGAAATTTTTGTTACCAAAAATATCATCGACTGAAGAGACGCGATAAAAAAACTTCTGCGAATAACGTTCTAAGAGAAAATGCGCTCATCTCGAAATTGAAATCACTTGTTTGCGATCAGCACAAACTAGCCATTTGCAATTAGTTCGAACAAACGGATACTGAATACGCTTGCGTGGCTGTTCGCAGGACGAGACTCGACGGGAAGCTCGAAGGAGTTGGATAGGGCGAAGCTCGTCCGCGAGAGGCAGAACGAGGAGCGCCAGCGGAAGTTGGAGGAGCTCAGGCAGCAAGCTCTCGCCGCGCAACGCTTCCGCGAGCAGCGCGAGGAGGAACGACGAAGACGAATCGATGAGCTCAGATCGCGCGATAACGACAGGTTCGTTAATTCACAATGCCATAATTAAGAGTATCCACCCGATCAATGAATTTCGTACAAAGAATTTCGAGGATAACTGCAAATCCTTTTTCCCTTACATTATCTTAATTTTTGGAAAAAGCTTACACATCTACTATACGCAAGGGAAATCTAGGCTCATTCGACTCGTTAAAAGTTTCGTCTCTTATTTTTTTGTGCAGACGAAATCAAGTCGAGGAGAGAAAACGGCTGATATGCGAGGCCGAGCGAGAGAGACGAGAGGCTATCCTCCGCAAGAATCAGGAGAGGGAGGCGCGCATCGAGGCGAAGAAGAGAAACGAGAGGTCGCATATCGTCTTTGCGTTCGGCAGCTCCACGCCGCGGATGCTGGAGCCCGCCGATACCGGCGGCTCCACTTTCTGGGGTACCCGCAGAGCCACCTCCACCACCAATGTCATGATGTTCTCTGCCGCGCAACCTCTCACCAGGAGGTCCTCCGAGAGAGAGCTGGACGGCAGCAAGAAACGGGCCACTTCCGCTGGCGGGCTCGACCGGAAGCCGGGCGAAGGTCAGTCATATACTTATTCAAATGTCGATCGAATTACGCGAATTCACTAAAGACCAGCCGGCAGAAAGGCGGTCCTTGATGCGAGCACGTTAGTGGCACGTCGCACATGGAAATTCAATTAACCCTTTCAGCACGCGATGCTAGACTTGCTACATACTTGAGCGTTCTGTTCTGCGAGAACGTTTCTCAATTGGAAATTCTCCAATAGATTGTCAGAGAATTTGAAATACCTGTGAATAGTGTGCATTTTTGTATTTCGTGTCAGTCTATATGCAAGTTGCAAATCTGATTCAACGTTTACGCGAATATTTTCCAAGTCTCTACATCGCGAATAAAATTTAGTCTCCGTTCAATTTCTCATAGTTTTCTAAAGGCTTTGCGCGATTTTCGTCCGTATATTAAAATGTTTTCAGCGGATTGTAAATAATGTGACGCTCTCTGGGCTTGATTTATCAGAGAGGGAGGTTGATGAAATACATAATGTACAAGAAATACAACTATAAAATATTCGCGCGATATGCGTATGCAATATGAAGTGGCCCGACAGCAGCTGAAAGCGTTAAAGGCTTTCCCCTATCTCGCATACGGTGGATGAATAATACACGCGTGGTATTTGTTCTGCACCGTGCACCGGTAGAATGCAAATTAGTGTTTACCGTAAGTTCAATCGGGCGTCGAATCAACAGCCGTTGTTGATGCAAACACGTACGACGAGCGACTCGGAAGCGGATTTGCTTTAATGTGAGTATAAATGCGGATCGCGGCCCTTAATGTACCCTACGTGTAATGAGGAAGATCGAGACCGGGCACCGACTGATTAACGACTTAACAATTAATTATACGACGGTGCTTCGTGTAAGTTGGGCCCTTTGTGCTTGCGGTTCGGAAGTTGTTACTCGAGACGAGATAAATCTGACGATAGGACACGTTCCGAAGGAATAAATCATGTCGGTGAACTCACGTCCCGTCCCCGATTTGCTTGCTCCACCCTATTTACTCGAACGTCCGGCGTATGTATCGATGATTGATGTTTGTCGTATGGGCCTACAATCGTTCTTCGTGTCGCGGAGGGATTCATGAGGGATGGTGTCGTTTAATCGCGTCGTCGCGGAATACAAGAATATTTCTATGTCACGTCGGTTCTTCAGAGAGCTAGCTAGATAAACGAGACAAGAAAGCGACTCGTGTCCTCTCGCAGCTTATACTTTACGCACGATCGCGCTTCCGATATCTTTGATAGCGATATATTTTTCTTAGTGGCAATCGATACTGCCATTTACAAGGTAGGGAGGAACTCCATGAGTTTCGCACGAGATATGATAAATAAAATTTTACGGTGCACTTGCTGTAGAATTCAATCCGCGTTTCGCTGCTCACTTATTTGTCACGTTATTAACATAATGTAAAATGCGAAAAGCAATTGAGGCAATTGTGTCTAATGAAATATGCATATAAATTATGATTATAGGAATTGAATAGACGAAATGATTAAATTATTTTGCTGTGCAATAAAATGTGTCGGATAATTGAATTGCGTCTTTGGAGACTTGAATAGCCGATTAAATGGAAAGAAATGGCGTTACAAATTGCATAAAATCGCCGTTACACGAAGCTCTTTTACACAATCGCTCACGGCGAAGACGACACCGCGAAGCATGAAAGAACGATTGTCCAGCACTTAGAATCCGTAACGCGGCCATAGCGTAAATTTTATTTTTTATTCTTTACTTTCAGGTTGACACTTTCTATAGCCTATTCTGTGTACACTCTTGTGGCAATATCCCTTTGAACGACAGCCGAATTCACGTATTACGTATTTTCAGCTTGAGATTGGTTACACAGCGAGTCTTGAGAACGTTTTGCGCGATATAAGTCGCAAGTTTTGCTTTTTACGCGACGTTATTTGTTTTTACTTTTACACTGCACACAGATTGCTCGGTTATTAACATTCACTCTGTAAACGCCACATCTTCATCCACATTCTCTCCTATCCGAGCACATATTCTCTCTCTCTCTCTCTCTCTCTCTCTCTCTCTTTCTTTTTTCTACAAAGAAATCGCATTTTGAAAACCACTGGAAGGAAACGAAAACTAGAGTATTTTTGTTAAGAAACCAGGAAATAATTTTTATATAACTGCGTTATGTTTTGTCTCTGTACTTCTCCCCTTGGTTATAACTGTACTTATCGGTGGTGGTTGTGCATAGCGAGGTGTACGGGAAGAAAAAATAATAAGGAAAGACAACAACGCGCGTGCGATCGGCACTGTATCTAACTCACGCTGATACTTATGCTTTCCCGTCCCATTTCTCCCATTCCCGCCCTCATTTAAAAGACTTTTCGCGGCACACCTAATATTTGCGTTGCGTTGAATGGTTTGTTCGCAGATATGAGAATGTCCTCGTCCATGTACGAGGTGTTCAATTGGAATTCTAGCCCCGATCCCCCCTTAACTCCTGCCAAGCATAAGAGAGCGAGCCTCTCTCTGCCCCCCACAACCGACATCTTTGCCGTCGATGATAAGTCCGATAGCGACACTCGGCGTCCCATGATTCAGCGGGTTGCCAGTGGTGAGTCCTGATGTCTCAGAAGCCTGCAAGAAAACCGGGAGAGATCCGTTTCTGTTCGTCTCAAGAATGAATATTGTCGATCCTCTACCTCTCGTTTCGTTTTAGCACACGCTCTCGTCGGGCTCTCTCCCTTTCTCTCTCTCTCTCTCTTTCTCTTTTTCTCTCTCTCGTGTTCTACGTGTTCTACGTCTCATTGCGTCTTTCATTTACTTCACTACACACTCTATCGACGCATGTCAAGTTTATTTAATATCATGAAAGCATATATCCCCGTGCACTTTCTCTCGTTCCGTAATTCCCCTCCCGATTGTATGGTATTGGTATCAGGTGGATTTTACGATACTTGCTACAGCCACTCGTGAGCGAAACCACGTGGCAACCAATATCACGCAACAGTGTGTCGTTAGTTTATCTATCCATATATGATTCCTTAATCTCGTTACTAACACGAACTAATCACTAGACACTATTAATATTTAGTTATTAATATTTAGTTGCAACGTGTATTTTGCAAGCCGAACCTTTGCCGTTCAGTAATGCGCAGTTCAATGTTAACTGTTAGTGAATTTGTTACGAATTATAGATTAATAGGACGATTATCAGTCGCTATCAATCTTTCATTTGTTTCATCGAGTATGTGCATCAGTTTAATATTGGGCCATCAATTTTCTAGTAATTACGTAAAATTATATGCGACAATTTATTACATGATGAGAATCTAAATTGAATTTTTAGCAGTAAAAGAGCAACATTGGCACGCTGCACAACAAACTAAGCTGAGAATCTAAACTCAGTTAACAATGCCATCAATTTAACGCAGACTTATAATCGTCAGTGGTATATGTAGAGTTTATTGCTTGCATTTCTCACGTTTTAGAGATTGTTCGATTGAATGTTATCTGCTTATACAGAAGTTACGTAATATATTCTCCTTTACACATGAAATTTATGCGGCATGTACACTAACGTTGATAGTTACATGCGCTTTAATACACAGCGATTTACGTACATTGAGAAAAAATGCTTTACTAAATACTTAAAAAAAAAGATACATATTCTTTTATAATTCTCTTCCTCTTCCTTCAATGATTTATAAAAAAATATGCACTAACTCTTTCTTACATTGAAATTTGGAGCGAAACACAAAGGTACTTGACATCCAATGCAATTCCGAGTAAAATCTCTCTCAGTGTACTTGTCCGCGTCATCCTCACGTGCCACAGCATGAAAAGCAAAGCAACACAACCGCAAGTAGCGTAAAAATAAGAGAGGAATAAAAATCTGGCGCGTCAGAGAAACTCTTTACTCGAGTGTGCTTCTCCATTGAACGAGCCGCGCCGTGTGTCCGCGCGAATCGACGGACGTTGCTCGTTTCGCAAGTACGGGCGGCACCCTAAGCGAGACTCTTTGCAGGTGATGATAGCGACGGTGGCACGCCCAGCACCCCGACCTCGGTTTACCTACGCGTCAACAGGAGACGCACCGACCTCATGCCGACGATACCGTCCCCGCGCGACGGCCCGCCGTCGACGGCACGCAGCTCCAGCGCCAAGGCCTTCACACGCTCGCCAGGTAGGACTTACTCCATGTCCAGGCTGGACCAGCTGGCGCAGCCTAGGAAACGCACGGCCGAGCAGCAACTCGGCACGTTGACGGAACAACAGCAGAGCCAGCCTCTGCAGAGCGCTTCTAGCATGAGTCGCAGCATGTCGCACTTGGCCGCGCCCGGAGGAGCCAAGAGCCTAAAGCGCTCCGATAACTCGCGCAGCATGGGCACGCTACCGGGCGCGGCGCCTATCCCCAGACCCACCCGCGCCGAAAGACTACGCCGTAAGGCCCGCGAGCACCAGCAGGCCCAGCAGCAACAAGGTAAGTCATGTGTGTTGACCGTGCACTCAACTCGACTCTCCACCGAGAGTCCTCCGCTAAATCGAGCTTCTGTACATAGCCAGAATATCCGCCGCGATTTCCCACCAAATAAACCGGCGATTCTTCCATTCTTTGCACCAAGAGAGAGCGTAGATCTTATCCTTAATCGTGTATAATTAGAGACAAAGTAGTCGGGCGGTAGCTCAATAATAGATCACGTTGTTTCTACACGTAAATCATACTTTTCAATATTTTATATCCTCTTTGTAATGCCCATTTTTTCCGATCTCAGCATCGCAGCTTCTCTCCGAATAATTAATCATCCGTTTTGCTTTGTACTAATTTACTAGTTGACTCTTGTCACCGTATCCAGTCGGGGACTAGTCATCGCTTAGTGACAAGCTTTGTAAAACTAGATCGACATATGGTCTTCGACAGAATGGGGAATGATTTCATAAATCACAGTTAAATAAAGAGACAACACATGTGTGTGAATGCACTCACTGTCTAACAAGAGAACTTCGATCAGAGTTGGGTGCACACATGTATGAATAAGTGTGAAAAGGAGTCTTTGTAAGTCAATCGAGACGATCAACTTCGTTTCACGGCGCGAAGATAAAAGGAACGTTTTCCTTCTAATCTCAAGCCGCGAAACATTAATTATTCTAGTTCAACGTTTTGATACACTTTTTTACATCTATTATACTTTCTCATCGGTGACTAGTGAATTAATTTTCGAAAGTATCTTTACCTTTTAACATCGCGTTTCGATGGCAGACTCTTTTAACATCAAGAGCCGGCTTGCATCAAAGAACGGCATCAGTTGAGGAACGGCTGAATTAATGATGCAGAATTTAATTAAGTCTGTCAGCGCGTTTTTGCCGATTTTGATGCAGCCGACTCTTTGACTTCCGAATTGATTAACAACGCTCCTAAGGAAGATCTCTCCACGGTACTTTTCGGTACCACGGTGAAGGTATGAGCTAACATCTCGGTAAGCTGCACGTTTTTCTTATACCTTATATCACTACGTAACTTATCTCGCAATTCACTTAGTGCTTTACATCTATATTTGGTGTGCAATTTATTCCTAGTTAACACCTTATTCTGTTACGATTCTTTCACTCTCTTATTTCGCGCGACTACAACCTAATTTTTCTTATTCCGTTCGCTTCATTTTTCCTCACTTATATCGCCTTACTCCTTTTGGTTTCCTTAATTTTTTTGTACACTCACGGACTGCACACGGTGGCGGTGTTTGCATTGCGGTTTCTTGCTGTTCGCTTTGCTACCACGTTGCGTTCGATAACGTTACAAGCGCGACGCGATCTCGAATGTGTGAAAAGTACGAGCGGGAAATTTATTCGGCGCGCTTCTCCGCCGAGAGATCCGCGCGATCGCGTTCAATCAGTCTCCAGCGAAAGGGTCAACATTACTTATCTTGGGTGGATGCGCGTAGGTATCCGCAGCGGCGAAGTGACACCCAACAGCCCGTCCCGGCCGCACAGCTCCATGAGCCAGCAGAGTGCCAGCAGCGTGGGCAGCAGTAACGTCAATCTGCGTACCCGCACGGCCGCGTCGCGCCGACCGCGGCCTGCTTCTATTGCCGGTACCGGTGTCTCGGTCACAGAGAAACACAGTGAGCATGCCTATTTTACTTCTCCTCCTAGCGACCCTTTTATAGATCGCTGAGGATCAGCAGGGGAATTTGGGAAAATAAAGAAAAGAAAAACAACTCGTCAAAGTCGATTGAGAAAATTACATCGGAGTAATTGGACCGAAAAGGAGATAATTTAATCGATGAAAGCTATTGTTCTACCTGTAATCCAGATATCTCGAAAGGATTCAAGCATGCTTGAAACAATATGACAGAGAAGAACAGAAAGACATCTCGACTGTATCCGGAATTTTTTTCCCGTATATCTTTTTTTCTATTAAATAATTTATACTTTTTAAATTTACATTTTTATTATCTTTTTTCACAATATTTCTCTTCCAAATCTCTATTTCCAAACTTTTGTATATTATTTCAATCATTAGATTTAGTTAGAAGTGCACATGAAAATACTGTACATACTCGAGCAAAGTTGGCGCGCGTAGGGAAGAAACTATCCCGATCGTTCTCGTTCTCGCAGATCTGGTGGGTGACGTGAAATTAACGAAGGATTCAAAGCCACCACTGCCAAAGGTCCATAGCACTCCAAAGAAACCTTCTCTACCCAAAGCCGCGGAAGTGAGAAAGCCGACGGAGAAGTTAATCAAGAATGCCAAGTCATCCCCGCGAATAACTCCGAAAGCGACACCCCTGCAAAGTCCTGGAGTTGAGCACGTACCGCTCATCCGCGAAACTAACGCGGAAATCATAAAGCAGGATGAGGGTAAAGATGTCAAATCGGAGGACAAAAACGAGGAAAAGAAGGATCAGGGTAGCGAAAAGACGCAGGTAAATTTTATTCCGTGTCGATACGTTGGAACATGATTTTATTCGACATTCGAGTGTTTAAAGTAAAGTAAATGTCTCTTCGTTCCAACATTTCCATAATTGTAATTTTTCTCACACATTTCAAAAACATATATTTAAATTCTAATTTGTATTTTAACAGGAAACGAACGTTGTCGAATCTGTAACTAGCGATATAAAGGTAGCGATGGAATCTGTGTCGGCAAGCAAACAAGTCAAAGACGAAACCAATTTGATGCAAGAGAATGTATTGGGTGCAGTTGCGGAAGAACCGTCGAAAGTCGCTAAAATGGAAGAGAACAAGCAAGAGAAGAAATCGCCAGAGATGACTGAAACGAAGTTTGAAGGTGAAGCGGACGAGCAGGTTGACATGTCAGGTATGACTAATCGAAATTTTATCGAGATTGAATGATCGTTACACGCTCTCGACTGTTAATGGCACATGTCTAGTTTTATTAATGATTCACTTTACAGCTTCGATGATCGCGAAAATCAGAATCACCACTGAAGAGGAAGCGAAAGCCGCTTTGGCTGAGCGTAGAAGATTAGCTCGAGAACAAGCGGAACGTGAAGCGGAATTGGAGCGCCAGCGTCAGGTACCGTCTATAAATCAATTTAATATTAGACCGACTTGGCTTTTACATCTGTTATCTTACATGTGACTATTTTCGCAGGAGGAACAAGCACGTCTAGAAGCTGAAAGATTGCGCGCGGAGGAAGAAGAGCAACGTCGTCTGGAGGAAGAAACTATACGCTTAGCTAATGAAGCTCGAGATGCAGAGGAGCAGCGACTGCAATTGGCAATCGAAGAAGCTAAACGTCGCGAGGAAGAGGATAGAAGAAAAAGAGAAGAGGAAGCTCGTCAGAAGCAAGAGAAAGAAGAAGCAGAGCGCAAAGCAAGAGAAGAAGCAGAAAGGTTGGTCTGAAAAATCTCTTCTTTCTCTGTTTTGAGCAAGTCATGATTATGCAAGGAGTAATATCCATATATTTAAATTACAGACAACGAATCGAAATGGCTGAGAGGCTCAAGAAGGAAGAAGAGGAGCGCAACGCCAGACGCAAACGAGTCGAGGCGATTATGCTTAGGACTAGAGGCAAAAATCAAACCAATCCGTCTGCCAAGGTACGTCTGACGATGAGTTAGAGACATTATGCTTAGTAATCTTTCGATAAAATTGAGCAATTAATTCGAATCAATCGTATTGGAGCAATTTGATCCAGACGGAATTTTACAGAAATGTAAAAATGCAAAGTTAAAAAATAATTTTACGGTAAATATGTGCAGGAAGAGGGCGGTGATGGCGACAAGCTAAAAGAAGACAGCCCTACCGACGAGAGCAAACCGGTACCGGACGGTAAAGGTGACGACGTCATGACAGCCAGTTTAATTTCCGAGGCGACTCAGCAATTTATCAGCGGCGAGCAACGGGCGCATCACACGGAAAACAGCGTACCTGCACCGGACATAGTGCACAACGGCACGGCACATAGCAACGGCATTAACGAAAGTAAAATTGTATTGGATAATAATCAGGGTAACGTTGAAGGAGAGTTGAACGGTCATCATACGAATCACGGGAACGGTATCAACAGTCAGTCGATTACGCTGGACAATGCCACTGTGTAAGTATACCAATTCTAAACTACTGGAATTGTAAACGTGTTATACCGTCGTCGACCGAGAGTCAAAAAGAAATCGTACGTCTCTCCTCAGATTGATGGACAATAATACCATAGTAATAACTTGTTTCGGTAACGCGTATTTTTAATTAGGCATTGATATATGTAATTTCCGATTCGCAAATTCAAAAGCGCCCAAGATCAATTTTAGATGCGACGTATTCCATTAGAATCCGACTGTTATACGATCAAACAAATATATATTTAAATATATTGACGGCAAGAATGTAATATCAAGAAGATTCAACTTTTTGGCGTAATTGTGAAAATATCTTATAAGCGTCATCAAGAAAATCAACTCGAGTAATCTATTGTATTTAAGTATTCAGGAGTTAATTAAATAATTATATGAAACAGATAGGTGAAGTGCAACATGCCGATCACTTACGTTTTTACAGGGCATAAGTAATTGCACAGCACTAGCCAATATACTACTTATTAAAATGGACTGATTATTGGTATAATCAAAACCAAGGTTGGCCGTATAGCCCGATCGAAAAACAAACTAAAGCATCTAAATATCATACACATAAGATAGCTGACTAACTCGCAATAAGAGGATCAACTTTTAAATATTACACATCAAATCCCTAAAGTATGACATTTTTATTTATATATTATTGAATAAAGAGATACCATCTGCGCGTTACAGAAAACCAAGAAACCAAATATTACTATGGCATGTATTACAATAAAAGCAAAGGTTTTCTTGGGTGCTTTATATAATTTAAATCCACAGAGAATACGTGCCACGCTAAATGTATGAAATTCATGTTATACGATTTTATTTGTAAATAGGTGTGATATGAGTTTCAAATCGCAGTGAATCATTATCGCACCCGCAAACAGATAGGTCATTTCGAGTTTTAGATTTGTACACATACATAAGAGGGATTCTATCAGATTTTCCAAAATTATTTAAACCTTCATTTGTGGTTGAATGTAAAAACGTTAAATGTATTCTAAAGGTTTTATTATCAAAGGCTTTGTATATATAATGAATTATGTTGTTCATAATATGTCTTGTAATGTCGGTTAACTATTAAAGTGAATTAAGTTTCAAAGTTATATACATATATATATATATGTACACATTATTAAACAGTTATTTAGTAAAAAGTTTATATATATATACTGCGCTTTCCTGAAACTTTGACAGGAAGGAACTGCCTATCGACATTAATTTCACCGAACATTTATCGCTTCATGCAAATATTCCGAGTGACCCACGCGTATTGTACATTGCAAAAGTAGCCAGAACAACGGTTGACGAGCATAATAAGCACGCCATTGCGACTCGCCGTTTACGATACGATTAGTTGCACAATTAGCAACATATTAATCAATAACAAATACGAGACTATTATCGCGAAATAAAAATGGGATTGCAAGTACGAGAGTGTATATTGTATCACCTATTGTAATAGTAGTTACATATATTTTATAATTGATATTCAGCTATGTACTAACGGCAAAATTTGCATACTATTTTTAGCTAGGATTATCAAAGGTAACGGGAACCGCGTACGTACTCCGATCGTCACTAAGTATTATGTGAATGAGTTGGAAGAACGTCATGTAACATCGTTCATAAAGCATGAAATCGTTAAGGGAAATATTAACAGAAGTGCAGAATATACTTAGTGTTAAATGATACGACAGATAAAAATCTCAGTGTATATAATGTAAAGAGAGACATAAGCGGCATAAAATCTAATGAGTCATCGAAACGTTTCGTTTTGTGATTTCATAACATACCAACTCAGCAAGGATGAATAACGTTAACGTGACTTTCGACAAGCGACAGTGACGCATCGCAGTCACATTACGGAGAACACAACTAACATTTTCGTGATAGCGTAACTACTTGTAAATATCATCTTTGCTGAGTATCTCTCTTTGATCTTTCCTCCAATTAGGTACTAAAAAGTGTTCTTCCATTTATTGACCCGTCGTATACCGTAAGTGCGACTGATTTTTCGTAACAATCTCTGCAAATCACCAATGCATGTTAACCAAACGTTGATATGGTGTGGCTTGTTCTTTTCCTTGCACAATTGTCTGCGTTCCTCATGCTTGTGTATTGTACATCATCGAGCGCGGTATATGTCAACTTACTGCCTACTTTTGCTATGTACTATTTATATACTTTCACGTGTTTTCCGACATAGTACTTTCTTCGTGAGAAAACGTCTCTTTATGCACACCACATCCACGAATCCTACACAAAGGTACCCGTTTAGGAAAGATAAAGGAAAGAAGGGAGGACTATAAGCGCGGCATGAATTTTCTTCTCTGATATACCGTAATCCGACGAGTGTGATTCGATCGAATGTCGTTCAATCTTTTATGTAATTAGATATGTATTTGCTGTTTTGCTGTAATATGTTCTAGCAAGCTATGGTTATTATAGTAACACAATTCAAGTGTCGATTTTAATCAACTGATTCCCGTAGTTATTTAAACAGTAACCTGTTACGACCCATCGACAGAATAATATATGTAACATATTAGTTGTATTCCAATTCTTTATTCGGCCAAATGCAGGCGAAAGATTAAATTGGACACCACAAAGGACCGCAAAAGATTGTGGACTGTCTCGGTTAGTACTGCTACGCATAAAAGCAATTTCTGTCGGACTTGATCGCTTATAATAGTTGTTTATATAGTTATATCAAAATAGTTGCCTCTCGAGGCATCCAAAGTCTACAATTTGCGGAGCAATCATACGATCGATGATGCAGAGGAACGACTGACGCATAAGCGCTTTATATTTATCCGACACGTTTTAGTTATCTATTATCTTTATCTAGTTATTTAGTTATCTTCATATCGTTCAGTTGACAACGTTTTTAGATGTATATAGAACCGCGGACTATGTTCCTGTTCGGCAACGAATACGTTTTATTTCGTTTTAGTAATTCAACTGTCTGGAGAGTGTTAACGAGTCGCTCGCAATCGGCTTAGCTAATTTAGCGGCGGCGATTCTGTATTAGTGATCGTGGATAGTCGCTTAAGTCGTAGTCCCTAATGCGCAATATCTGGCTGTCAATTTAGTATGTTTGTATGTTTTTCATTTGGCTTGTTTTGTAGCAAGCAAAACAACGTGACCAACAACCTGTTAGACCTGACGGACTTCGATACCCTGAGTAATAACAGTAGCGGCTACGATACCGGGCCGATACTCGAACTGACGCCCAATCTGGCGAACGAGGATACCCTCAACTCCAATCTGAACCCGGCGGCGATGCCGTTTACCCCGATGGGGTTCGCCGCCGCTAATGTCAATGTCAATCCGTTCCAGGACAATTTCATCAACAAGCCACAGGACAACAATCAAGTACCAGGTATGTCAATCTTCACCGCAATACGTTTTCAATCATCGGATTTCCTTTAACGAAGAAAAATTGAGTCGCGACTTTATGAGTTTGGAAACTCCGCGCAATATAGCTGAGCGAATCAATATGTCAATTCGACCGAAAATGCCTCGAGATAAGAGACTCGTGTGTAAGTGCCGTCTCTTTTTTTTCTCCGCAGATCTACTGTCATAAGGTGTCTCTTATACGTTCCCGGACGAACAGAGAAAGAGCAGTTGGGCAACTGATAATTGCTTCTAGCGAGCAATTGCTATATTATTCGGAACGAGACGTTGTTGTTTATGATAATGTAAATAACCGCCGTCGCGCGACGTATCATGTGCTGAGGGGATATCTCGGTGAACGAGAACGAGGACGCAGAGACCCATCCCCGGGCCCTACAATCATGCCGAGCTCTGAGCATCGTCACCGGGAAGGAGGAAGTGTAAAATAATATATAATGTTAATTAATTATTGCGCAACAGCAAGTGTGGACACTCAATCTGTGTGTCGTAGTATGCTATTAGGCAAATAACTTTCTTAAGGAAGGGGGTTGAGGCCTGTGTTTGTAACACATCGTTCTCGGATGTTCATAACGCGGACGTATTTTACGATAACAAAGCGACGTGAAATTATTTTCTCTCACATACATACACAAACCCGCATGTACACGCGATTTCGCCCTTACCCCACACATACACACACGTATATGTGTGTAGATTACAAGTAAGATTTCCGAGGTGTTAATCAATAGAGATGGGAGAATTGGAGATTACGCGGAGAGAGTGAATTGACGAATAAACATAGCACAAGAGATAAAAGAAGAAGAGAGATAAAATACAACAAGTCAGATCAAACGCAGAAACGTATCTGCCAAAACGACGGATAAAAGAATGTCCCCAACATATAGGAGATAAGTATAAAGTACCGTGGCACGGTACTACCTTATTACAATTTCACGAGCGGATCTTAAATGCGTTATCGCGTTCAACGTGGAGAGACATTCTGCGGATACGAGATGGGGAAAAGTAACACGGATATAGAGAAAAAGGAAACACTTTTCTTCCATACCAGATTTCGGGGCGTGCGCTCACTAGTCAAGCAATCTTACTGTTTTTTTTTCTTTTCTTTCTTCTTTTTATCGTATTTTTTTTCATTTAGAGGGCCTACTTAACATTGGTATATACCCTAGGTATTCGCTAGACCTCACTATATCGTTACGTTCTTTTCGCGGATCGTGCATAAATTCTCTAGCTGTGATGATGACGATGACGATAATGCCGATTGCTTTGTGAGATAGCCACTGCATAAGTTAACGGTGAGTGACGATCTAGTAATGTTAATTGTAAGAATTGTTACGCGAGAGAGACACTACAGATGGGATTCAATTGCATTTTACTCGACGGAGGTAAATAACGTTCGAATACTGTAACGTTAACGCGAGAGCGAACATAAAAGCGCGAGTGTTCTACTTGTTATTATTTGCAACGTGAAAATATTATGAGACGTGGAATGTATCGGTAGCATGCTCTATATTTTGCGCTCGCCCTGTTTCACATAGATTATTTATAACGAGGATAGAGAAACGGAAATTTCTGTTATCCTGGTTTTATTCGGAAAACATGATCGAGAGAAACGATGGTCGGCGCTAGAGGAAAGATAGGATTAGTGTACAGATTGTTTGTTATTCAATTTTTCTCGAACATTTGCACGCGCGAGAGATTTATCCCTCCCCCCCCCCCTCTCTCTCTTTCCCCGCCCCTCGCTCTTTACTTTATTCGCATTTTATCGTGATCGGCGTAGTGGATTTATCGAACTTTATATGATATAAAATTGAAATGGTCTGGTTTATGTTCAAACCCAAGATTTTTCGCATACGCAACCTGTTTTTCGGTCGGGCGAGAGAGGAACTCTCGTCCGCGAATAATCGATATATTTTCTTATGCATGATTAATATATATTTTTAACGAGAGTCGTTAGAGCGAGCGTATTTGTACAAAGTTGCATCGCAAGTCACTTGTTCATAACGCCGAAAATGTCCCCAATCACTACTAGGAAAATAAGCAGGAGAAGCATATACACATCCCGAAACTATGCAAAGTGACAGATTTATTGACACGTTTTATCGCCCGTTCTCACGCGAGAAATTGTCTCCGTGTTTGTCCTGTAAAAATTTCAATGCTGTAACGGACCGGAAACGCCCGATTCGTTCCGACTTATTGTACGAAACTTATTTATATTAGTTCTTCTTTTTTTCGACAATATTTATTAATCGTTTGGACACCGTATATTATCCCTGCGTCACATGTACACTTATACTATTTTTATTAGATTTGGTTGAGATTCTATTAAAACTATTCTATAAGAATACCTAATAATAATGGTAATTAAATAGAGTACGAGAGAATGTTTCTAAATATACAATAATGAAGAAAAAAATGCTAAAATATCATCAGTCATGTCTAAAGAAACAGATACTTCATATTGTAAAAAATGCTTGTATGTAATAAATACTTAATACTGAAAAAAAAAGATCCAGAATGTTTGCTGATTTTACATATTGTCCCCTCCGCCATGCCTCATGACACTCGTACACGATTGTTCTGTTTAATGCATCGCCTTGCACTGGGGAACATCAGCGATTCTACCTATTAGCATCAACTGCAGTTGTTGCAGCCATTTATAACGGTACTGTGTAGCGCAAACTCTTCTCGCCGCCCTATAAACCCTTTACCTTACCGAAACTAACAGATCCTCCCCTAGTAATGTAAACTTGCAAACCTCACGCAGTGAAATACGGCACCGCCGCCGAGATGCATCGTGGATGCAACTCGTCCCTCGAGTCTCGCACTCGCAAAAACTAATGCTTGTACCTTCGTGCCTCTCCCGTGAATACGATACTGCTTCTTCCTTTCCAACATAGAAAGTAGTTTCCCCGTGCTAGACGGTTCCTCGCGTGTCCCTTCCCTTTTGGAGTCTCTTCCTCCTCAATTATTCATTGTTATCTCAAGAATCGTGTTCAACGGCACAACTGAGACGATTCCTTTGTCTTTCTTATCGCAATAGCTTGAACTTCTTTTCATCTTGTCAAATCATTTTTATTATTGTTGTCAAAAAAGCATCTAGTAATTTATGAAGTAACTTCAAATGATAGGAATCCACAACTGAACATATGTTTGCGAAAACTCAAGGTAAGATCTTTTTCAAGTTATTTTTATACAAAATAAAAATCGTTGTAACAGAGATTTTATGAAATCAATATAAAAAATGTTGATGTACGCTAATAATTCAGATTTTTTTAATTATTATGTAAACCTGGTAGATAAAATTTCAAGAATGATAATGTAGAGAATGAAACTAACAATGTGGTATACGAAGACAATTTTCAAACAACAATGAAAAGCCCATTTCGAGAGAGTTAAGACATATCTCCGCGTGAACCGGCAGTTTAGCAAATTTACACGATGCAATTATGTGCTTGCGCAACGGTCGTCACGGTTAATGTTAATGCCATTAGGTGTGTAACGGCAGCTGGAAAAGCGGATAGAATCGTTTGTTTACTTCGTTTCTTCGCGAGGGAGACGAGGCAATGGGAAAGGTTGCTGCCTCGGGGGTTCATAATCCGGCGCTTCATCGGCGTAAATTAATTAATCAAACGACGTAATACGCAGGCTCCTTTTGCCACGTTATTACGGGCCGAGGAGGTGAAAAGGATCGCCTCTGGGCAAAATGAGGATTTCGGATACGCGAGCAACATCCTGCGGATTCAGCGTTCCAGAAAATTAAACCGCTGCGCAATATGAAACTTTTATACACGTGGCTGTTTATCACTCGTAAAAATGATATAAGAATTATACAACAAATAATTAGAATATAATATAACAAATGCAAAAATTAATAATAACATAATATAAAACTGAATGATAGGCGTGCAGACCTATCATGTTTAAACTTTTAAAAACCACTTGTATAATATGATGAATAGTTTTGCATTAATTGGTAAGATAACTGCTTAAAGCATTGATTTTGCAAGTTTACGTAAATACATTAATATCTTTTTTAATACATTTACGTACTTATATCATGTATATTATTTTGCAAGATACTTCGCGAGAAATAATTTCCAAAAAGGTAACTCGTTAAAGACAGAATTTATCTCGCGTTGCTAGAATTGAAAAAAGCCCGACGACGGAATAAATGCGCTAATTGATTATATACGGTGGGCGGTAATTCGAAATTAAAAGAGTAACGATGTAAAACCTGGGAGCCAACCGCCGGCACGGCGCAAATAGTATTGCTCGCGCAATTAAGGCGGACGTGGGACACGCAGTAATTCTTCGTTTAGCAAATCCGCGGTATTAATTCCGTAAATGAATTTCGCGTAGCCACCGCGCAACGGGAAACACGCATTCGCTTAACGACGGGGGTGGCTCACGAATATTGTAATTTATGAACGGAAGAAGTGCCTCCTCCACCGTGACGTTTAGTTTCCATATGCGAATACGCGTTTCTCTCCCCTGGCATTCAAATTTCCATTCGTCCACATGTTCAATTATTTTTTAATCCTTGTTATTATTACGAGAATTATTATAAGAGTATTATAATACTTTGCATATATGTATTATTCTCTTACTATCATTTATTAGTTTCAAGAATTATTCTTTCGCTACAGATGTATAGTTAAGTTAATAAATTTTATTGATATATAAAATATATTTCTTTTTTACATCCCTTATCGATCGTCGTCAATCCTCCCCGATTTGCACTTTCACAATTGCCTTTCGAACGATTAATCTCAATGTGGTCTACTAATTGGCTAATGTGATATTTTTTTTAAGTACACAGAGAGTATTTTCTCTAAAAATTTACCCTGAAATCGTGTAATCGTAGGACAACGTGGCACTTTGAAGAGCTTTATGAGCGTTTTATCAAAATTTACCAAACAATTTTCCAGTGAAATGTGTGGTAAAATTTCAAAAAACTCTCATAAAATTCTTTGAAATGCCGTGTTGTCCCACAATTACAATATTTTCAGGATAAATTTGAAAAGAAAATTCTCTCCGTGTATATATCGAAAATGTCAAACGTCTGCACGTTTGAGGTAGTTGCGTGCTTTCACAGTCAAGCGCGTAATCCACCAAGTCTTGGACCGACACATTTGTGTTGCAGTCGGGGAAATGGGCAAGGGAAGAGGGGGAATGGGGGAGCCCCCGTAATTTGCGGGTTGTAATACCGCGCCCGTCGTTTGTAACCTGTTCGAGACACGTAAGTACAGCCAAGAGAACAGCGCCGGGGAGAGAAGTAACTACGTAACCGCATCGTCTCATTGAGGGGGATGTTTTCCCGGTTCTGAAACGGATGTAACTACCGCCCGTCTATGTGGCACCCTCCGAAAACGCATAGGGGTACTCGATCACCACCTGCTTCATTCTATTTGCGGGGCCTGCGGCCTTCAGGGTTTCGTTTAAATAATATATTACAAGCAGGATTGGGAAGTAACTCATTGCTTGTAACGAAGTTACAGTTACAGTTACTTCTTTTTGGCAACTCTAACTTAACTTCGTTACTTTTTCTCCATCTGATAACTGTAACTTAACTCAGTTACATTTTTTCGATAAGTAGTAATAAATACATTAATAGTTACTTTATACATATTTTTAAACCTTCATTTAATCGCATAGGTCTTGCCTTTGCGTACAAACGCCTCCCTAGAGGCACAATTCATTGGCTGTACATTGGCTAACATTGGTTAAACATTGGTTATGTTAGCAATGAATTGACCAATATTTTCCCAATATAACACCAATATTGATCATAAAATAAATGCACATATACTACTGATATTGTATCTAGATGATTATTTAATATTGATTGTATTAGCAAGATTGCCCAATAAAATTGTAATATTCAATATAGAATAAATGCTAATGTAACACCGATGTTACGTATCAATAATTGCACGGTACTGTGTTTACATTGAAAGTGCATTGCTAAAATATGAGGCCCTCCACCACCCCCGCCAATTTCGATCGGCGGTCCTCTTTTCTTTACAATAATCATTTTCTTTTGACATGTTTATCATTATTATATTTCCATCACAATTAATTTTATAATTTATTACAATATGAAACATGTAGCTATGTCTACTCTCCAAAAGTCAATCAGTGGATTATTACAGAAAACAGTGAATATCCACTGATTCACAGTTACAAGTATACCACTGAATAATTCAATAGTTATAACCGTTTTCAGTGATAATTCGCTGATTGACTTTTAGAGAGTAATATGTAACATTCTTTATAAATGTGTAAAGAAAAAATCGTATTGTAAATGCGCAAACGAAAATCTATCGCATAAAATATTATTTTAGACCAACTTAAAATTTCATACAATAGAAAAGTTAATCTAAAGAGGCCCTCCGCCGCCCCCACTGATTCCAATCAGCGGTCCTCTTTTCTTTACAATACGATTTTTAACATTTTTATTATTTATCTTTTAAATTATATATGATATTTTTTTAATGAAATTGCACGTGAAAATTCGGTCTGCGTACAATAATACTGCGTACAATTACCTACCCGTATTCCGATTTATAGACCTACCTACCCGTATTTCAACATAATGAACCTACAAATCTTTAATTAACCGCGACGCGATTTTTTAGGGGTTTGACTTGGAGTTTAACGCGACCGCGGGATTTAATAGGGGTTTCACTCTCGCACATATGCGAGAATGTATGTATATAGAAGCATAATCCACCCAAATTGTAACACATCAAAAGAAATTAAAGTATACATCGTACAGCACCTTACTTAGGTTCTCCATCAGAGTGGCCAATATTGACCACTTACCTCGTCGTATTTAGTCCTTCGGTGGGCCAGATTGGACATACCTTTCGTTGCTCCCGGCCATACCATCTGGTCATTTTGACCAGAGATCAGGAAGGAAGAAAACTCCTTCCATAGTCGGTTATCGTCACCGACAAATATTTCGTACGGTTCGAATATACGAATGACGATCGTATCGCAAAATGCACGACCACGAGAAGTTAATTAAAAGAAAAATATTAATTAAAAAACTTTATGGTATGTACGAATCAAATTTATTTTTACTTCCGTTATTTAGTTAAACATATTGATCATCTCTTCGTAAAATGATCTTAGAATTCAAAAGTCGAATAGATATAGAAAACAAATTTACTTCGCGTTAAAGTGATTTTAATAATATTCCTCGATAAATTAAAATTTATAATATGGATAAAATTAAGTAATTAATAATTAATTAAAATTTTTTCCTGAAAAACCGATCGCGAAAACCGACCGCGTAGATGCGTGTAATTGTGCATGTCGTTCATGCGATACGCATCTTGACAATACATATTATATATCAAATCAAATAGAAAATATGAAAAAGAAATGGATAGGTTACAAAAGATTTGCTCGACAAATACAGCAAGACTATATTTGCTAAGCCATATTTTGTGTAATTTTTGCAACAACTCAAGATGGAAAGTAAATTCAACATATCGTAAT